CACGGTTACTGTACTGGTGTTAGTTTATGCTTGTGCAATAAAACTTATAAAAGGCAGCAACCAGATGTCCGAGCCTGAGTACGACACAGTTTCATCAGTTAGAACACACCCTTACGGTGGGAGTTTACTAAATTAAAGGTAGTTAGCTTAGTAAAAACCGTACATTGTTGGATTAAATCCACAAGGAAAAGACTTGTAGGTTTTTGAAAGTGGACAAATTAATCTATAATATATAATAATAAATATTGTTAAAGTAACAGGTCCTACGGATACAACTTATGCTATAATATGTTCACAATAAATTAGTTTTTAATTCACTAGAAAAGAAAAATAATCAATCTTAAAACTTAATGTTAAGGAAAAGAGCTTCCAATGACCTGATTTGCATCTCATAGACAGAAAAAGTCATTTTATTTTGAAAACAAATATTTTGGTGTGTAACTCTTCTTAAAGAACTCGACATGCTGTTTTAAACTCAGTTTCCACACTGCTTGGTGGTAAAACATGAACATGTGTTGATTCCCGCTTTATCTGCTGTTTAGACAAATGAGCTGTCATGAACAATTCAATGAGGAAACTTAGCATTAAGTGTGAGGAAACCCTGTTATCCTGATCCAAACTGCTGGTGTTTTCTATGTAATGCTTTTTTGCTTTTCTACTATGTGAATCTGTATTAATGGCAATAATATCATCTTCTCTCTTTTTCTGTCTACACCAGAAGTAAAGGAAGAGTAGAGAAATCATCTGCACTGTACTCCACAGTCAACAAAACCTGATTAATACAATAAAACATTCTAAGCTCACATTATTACTTGATCAGCCATATTGTTTAGAATTATTATGCATTATTATGGCCATGTGATTAAAATAAATGTAATCCATCCAAATTAAAAAATGGTTTTCCTCAGACTCTAGCGAAACAGAAACAGGGATGACCTGGTGGAAACAGCGAAGAATCCGAAAGTGCAAAATAAAGGGCAGATTTGCGGGGACTAATATTTAAGGCTCTTTTATCTGATAAAAGTGTGGTAATTGCTTGTGGTCCATAAACTTGTGATAATACACAATTGCTTGGCTGCCTACTGAGAGTAGAAGAGCAAGTACAAGACCACTCTGCATTCTGATATTGTGTGCATAGTGGTGGTTTGTGACACTGTTTTAGATTGAAAAGGCTGGTTCTGTGGTTATTTTAACATGTACATGAATTTCATGTTGGACGTATTCTGTATTCAAAATGTTAGATGGTGGCATGTCATATTTGCCCTCTCTGAAATCTACACCTAATGGTTTCTTATTGTCTTGAAAAATAAATTCCTGAATCACATACAGCGGGGTTCTTAACAAGTATGTGAATCACTCAGGCCCCACACAGGATATATTTATTTTGACATCCATGTTAAAATTTCAGTTACATTATGGATACTTATTTTAATGTAACACTGTGGCAATAAGGCAAGAAATGAACATTCTTTCATGAAGCGCACTAAGAATTTAAATATATAATCTACT